CGGGACCGGGAGCGGAGAAAGGACCGGGAGCGGAGCGGGGAAAGGAGCGGGACCGGGACCGGGAGCGGAGAAAGGACCGGGAGCGGAGCGGGGAAGGGACCAGGAAAGGGATCGGGACCGGCACCGTGAACGGAACCGGGTTTGGGGAAGGGGCCGGGAGCGGGATCGGGATTAGAATCGGGATCAGGACCGGTACCGGGGAGCGGGTCCAACCCAGGGCAGCGGGGCCAGCCGGGCCCGGCGCTGGAGCGGAGGGTCCCGACCCCCGCCCCGCTCCGGTGCCGCTCCCGGTGCCGGTTCCCGCAGCCCCGTTCCTGCCGTGTCCCCCGCAGGTCGCTCCCCAGGACTACCGGAACGTTCCCATCGACATCCAGACCAGCAAGCTGATGGGTACGGGAAGGAATCCCGGCCCCGGGAAGGAATCCCGGCGCCGGCCTCTCCCGGCTCCGCTTCCCTCCGAACCGGGCAGGGACCGGGAATTCATCCCGATTATCCCGGCACAATTCCCGCGTTTTTCCTCCTGCCCTGGCGGCAGAGCTGGGATCCATCCCAGGGGTTGGGAGAACACTCGGGAATTCCTCCCGGTGTTTGTCCCCCATGTCCCCAAACCCGGGGGTGTCCCCAAACCCGGGGGTGTCCCCAAACCCGGGGGTGTCCCTGCGGTGATGGCACTGTCCCCTTAGCCCAGGGGTGTCCCCATGCCCGGTGCTGTCCCCAAACCTGGGCTGTCCCCGCGGTGTCACGGGCCTGTCTCTATCCTGGGCTGTCCCAAACCCCGCTGTCCCTGTACCTGGCTGTGCCTGTGGTGACACAGACCTGTCCCTGTGGTGGCACAGTGCTGTCCCTGTACCCGGCTGCCCCTACAGTGACACGGTGCTGTCCCCACGGTGACACGGTGCTGTCCCCACGGTGACACGGTGCTGTCCCCACGGTGACAGACTGGCTGCAGGACCGGCGGCACTGCGGGTGCCGCTGGCCCGCGCAGGTGGCGCAGGTGCGGGAGCGGATCCGCGCGGCGCTGCAGGACATGCCCGAGCACCCCGAGATCCGAGCGCTGCTCCAGGGCTCCTGTCAGTGCCTGCGGGGCCGGGGGTTTGGGGTCTGGGTGTGGGGTTTGGGGTATTTGGGGTCTGGGGTTTGGGGTATTTGGGGTCTGGGGTATTTGGGGTTTGGGGTATTTGGGGTCTGGAGTTTGGGATTTGGGGTTTGGGGTATTTGGGGTTTTGGGGTGTAGGCTTTGGGGTGTGGGGTAAGGGGTTTGGGATATTTGGGGTCTGGAGTTTGGGAACAGGTTTGCAGTCGGGGTTTGGGAATTGGGATATTTGGGGTTTGGGGTCTGGGTTTGGGGTTGAGGTTTGGGAATTGGGAATTTCGTATTTGGGGATTTGGGGTTTGGGGTCTGGATTGGGGTTTGAGGCTTGGCATTTGGCGCTTGGGGATTTGGGGTTTCGGGATGGTTTCCCCCCAGACCCCAAGAGCCAGGATTTGGGGTGGTGGTGGCAACTCAAGAACCCCCCAAAACCTCCTGGGGATCCCCTAAAACCTCCCGGGGATCCCTCAAAACCCATTGGAGATTTCCTAAATCCTCCTGAGGGTCCCCCCAGGCATCCCCCAAGCCCCCCAGGCCCCTGACCCCGCTGCCCCCCCAGACCTGCACTACTTCCACTGCCTGCGCATCGTGGAGATCCTCAAGGGCACCGAGGCCTCCACCAAGAACCTCTTCGGCCGCTACTCGTCCCAGAGGATGAAGGTGGGGGCACCCTCCTCTTCCTCCTCCTCCTCCTGTTCCTCCTCCTCCTCCTCTTCCACCTCCATCCTCCTTTTCTTCCTCTTTCTCCTCATCCTCGTCTTTCTCTTCACGCTCCCCATCCTCCTGTTCCTCCTCGTCCTCCTGTTCCTCCTCATCTTCTTCTCCCTTGTCTTCTTCGTCCTCCTCTTCCTCTTCTTCCTCCTTTTCCTCCTCATCCTCTTCTTCCTTGTCCTTTTCCTCTTCTTCCTCCTCTTCCACCTCCATCCTCCTTTTCTTCCTCTTCCTCCTCCTCCTCCTCCTGCTGCTGCTGACCCTGGTGTTTGTCCCCAGGACTGGCAGGAGATCGTGTCCCTCTATGAGAAGGACAACGCCTACCTGGGTGAGGGGGGAATCACAGGAATCACGGGAATATCGGGAATAATGGAAATAATGGGAATATTGGGAATTATGGGAATATGGGAACAGTGGGAGTGGGAATTATGGGAATATGGTAATAAAGGGAAGGGGAATAATGGGAATTGGAATATTTAGGATAATGGGGATAATGGGGATAATGGGAATGGGAATTCCCTGAGGTGTCCCAAAGAACCCCCTGGGTGGGTGAAATTTAATCCCCAAACTGGGATGGGAAAAGATGGAACAGGGGAATCCGGCCCCCAAACTGGGACAGGATTTAAGGGGAATTCAGCCCCAAACCGGGATGGGATTTAAGGTGAATTCAGCCCCAAACCGGGATGGGATTTAAGCTGAATTCAGCCCCAAACTGGGATGGGATTTAAGCTGAATTCAGCCCCAAACTGGGATGGGATTTGAGGTGAATTCAGCCCCAAACTTGGACAGGATTTAAGATGAATTCAGCCCCAAACTGGGACAGGATTTAAGGTGAATTCAGCCCCAAACCGGGATGGGATTTAAGGTGAATTCAGCCCCAA